GGGTTGGATCAGAAACTATTTTCTTTGCCTGTCTGATAATAAATTGCTCATACACTGTTTGAAGGGACAAGTATTTTTTAACCCCCATAATCTTCATAGGAAGAGCATTATATTACCTTTTTAATGTACATGTACATGACCTATACATACACAGCAAAGGCAGGAAAAAAGAAGATTGCAAGTTAGTAGATGTAGATGTAAACAATGCCTGTTTCAAAATGTAATTGTCAGAATTTCATGAATTTCATTCAACACGTTTGTTGGAACTTGTTTGGATTCAAACAGTGTGTTTTGTGAGAAACACTGAATGTAAACAGAACAGTTTTATTGTTTACAGGAAAACTCCCAAGGGCACCTTTGAGTTAATGTGGTGACTTGTTAGCATTAAGTTCCTTATTTATAGAAGCAGCAGACACAGAGCAACATTAGCATTCACTTGTAGTCGAGTTTCTGGCCACTTAACAAATGTAACTTCAATATTCACTCTTTCAGCTGTTCGGTCTCCACCAACTGCTGAGAAGAAATACCTTTCTCCGCTGCTAATCTTGTCTCTCTGCATGTGGTGCTGGGTGGGTGTCCAGTGGGTTTGTCAGAGCTTTTACACTCATTTACACCTGTAAATGAGGTCGATGACAGCGGTGAACCAGAACGTTAAAGTCCAAAGATGCTAAAATGAGCCTTAGAGCTGAGGGATAATTCTCTAGTTTGTCACCAACATCGTTCAGATTGTTTAAGCAAACAACATGCTGTCATTTATTCTGTGAGTACAGGCTCAAGAGAATTTTTTTGGACTCTGTAAGTCAATCAAAAGAAGACCCATTTTTGTTCCAAGTAACATAAAACGCCTTTACTGGAAAATGTATTTGTTTTGTAACAACTAAATTATTCAGTGTTCCTGTTCCAATTCTGACTCATCATACCTGGTTTTAGTTAACAGAGGATTGTTGTGGTTGCAAATCTTTGTGGTGGAAATTAATCTCTTCCCACTTCTCTAACTGCTAACAGACACACACTCAGAAAAACAGAGACCATTTCTTTTCTCTAAAAATTACACAACCAAACAAGGAGGTGATCAATTGAAATCATGTTTGAATCATGTTTTTGTTCTTATTTCCATGTGTGACTTAAAACTGTAAAAAGAAAACAACAATCTAAACATGGTGGATTGTATCTGTAAATATGCAGGTTCATAAGTGACCTCGGGCTAGATGGGTGAACAAAATGATACACAATGCATTGCGTGGGAACTCCTGTTGTGATTATGGGTTTGATTTCCAATGTCCTTACTGTTATAATGAACATCTGCAACATGTGGCAGACGAATTGAAAATGTCTCAGACAACAACTCCTTATTCAGTATAAACAAATTCACTGAACACGTCTGTAGATAAACAAGGAGTAGACTAGTGAGGCAGGAAAAGGGAACACCCTTCATCCTTATCTGAGGCATCAGTTTCATCAGTCCAGATCTTTTCAGAGGTATTTGGAGAATTCCTGTCATTGCATAACCACATCAAAATGTCTTCCTTGGTTCTTATCGGAACTGTGTGTTTGGAAAGGAAATGAACAAAGAGGAGCATATGAGTAAGTCAAATAAGATTTATTTTTCATGTAAGTGCATGGATATTGGCAGATTTGTTTGATTTTCATAAATAAACCATGCATGCAAGTATTTATGTTTCTTAGTGATTAAAAGGCTTAAATAACTTCATTGTCAAACATGGCATCCAAAGTTGACCGAAATTACATCAGACGAATGTCAATCCATATTAATATGCTTTAATTGCCAATGTGTATGTTTGTGTTGATTTTCTATGACTCTGTGTGTGTGTGTGTCCTATTGCTTTAATTTGTATACGCCTCAAGCACTGCATTTTACTGTGCGACTTCATATGTGTAGTCTGTTGTAATTCATTTACATTCTGTTGTTTTTGGCTTCATGTATTGTGTTTTTTACAACTATGTGTGTGTGTGTGTATGTGTATGTGTATGTGTTTCTGACAGACGAGTGATCCAGTTCTCTGAGGCTCACTGGATAAAATCCTCATATAGACAGAGTGTCTGGCACTTCTTCATAATATCCTCTGTCGTTCCTCTCAGGGCTCAGAAATGTGTCGCTGTCATCTCCTGTGAAACAGACGGACAGGAGAGATCAAAAACAGAGAAGAAGAACCTTGGAGAGAAGAACAGAGATACCAAGTGGGACAGAGAATGAGAAGAGACAACTACCTGTCTGATTTTCAAAATATGATTTTTATTTTCTCTCCAGTGGCATGAAAGTCTCAGGTTAATGAAGAGGAACAGAAGTGTGAACATTTTGCCACAGCATGCCACATTCTCAGGATTGTGAAACTATTTTAAATCTGACGTCTCCACTTTGCACCATGTGGATTCATTCATTATTTTAAACTTACATACTCTATGTCTGATGGGCGTCTGGAGTGAATGTAAGGCTCTACTTGCTTTCTAAAATGCTAAAATGCTTCTGTCTTGCTTTCATGCCAATAAAGATTACTTAATTGAATGAAATTAAATACATTTGAAACGGAGATACAGTAAAGGCCAGATCGAATAGCAAACCAACGTCTTGCTTCTCTTACTATCACTCTGAAAACCTCCATCTCATGTATTTGCCATGTGAAATATATTCATACAGTAGGAGTATAGATGTATATATGTGGGGGTATGCATGCATATATTCATTAATTCACACATGCCTGCATGCATGTTACAATTTATGTGTTCCTGGACTGTGCACAGTCCCCTTGACCAACCTCATCCTCTTTCATCTTACCATCCACTCTCTTACATGGTCTGTACTTTTGTGTGTGTGTGTGTGTGTGTGTCAGCGCTCCCATGAAAAGACTTTGATCCTGTGAACTCTATTTCATGGACAAGTGCCATGTCTTTGTTCTTTGTTAGATTTCTCCTATGGGAGCAGAAACATAAAGTCACGTACCTGACCAACTACTAAAGCAGAACAGGAAAAAAAAAACAATAGCACATTTGCTGATGTGCAGACATGCATGCAAGCACAGGTGTATAAATAAGATTAACATACACACACACACACACTGCCCATGTTTTAAAGCAGACTGTAATTTGCCTTCAGACAGAGATTGATGGTGTGTGCTGGGATGAGGAGTATTTCTGATGCATATACAAAATGTTTAGAAATGTGTTTTTAACTGTATGAAAAAATGTAAAGAATTTGCATCTAAATATATTAAAATACATAAACACACACAAACATACACATATGATATTAGAAACAGTGAAAATACCAATTTCAACCATCCTCCAACCATCTTATGCTGTGCAATCAATTTTCAGTCCAGGTCACACTGTTTGGACGGAGTAGGGATCAATGAACCAGTCGAGGAACAACAGCAAAATCATTGTCCATTAAGACTATGTATAAGGTGAAAGGGGGTCGCTCAGAATGACAAATCCACAGAGAGTTATCACATGACTGCATTTCCCCTCAGCTCAATGGAGCCTCTTTTAACTTACTGTTTGGTTTTATGACCAACTTTAACTCACTGATTCACTTCAGCCTCATCATTTTTGGCTGCAGTCAGGACCTGTTTTAATTGAAAAATCTCAACAACAAAAAACCTGGCTGCTAGCAACTAGCTGGTGAACAAACAGTTAAAAGGAGAATGAATACTGTCCTTTAATTCATCACAACTCTAAATGAGAGGTCATTTTTCTCTGTATTCACCTGATAAATTAACAACTGTTTGCTAACACATTCGCCATGTGAAATTAACATAAGATGATAACGTGTCAGTGGTGAGTAGGTAAACATTTACAACAATGGCTACAACCGTACAGTATTTTTTATATGATCTCCTCCTGAGACTACTTCGTCAAGTAACATTGAGTTCATCACTAAAAGTAAACTTCCACACTTCAGCACGCTACGTGATGTTGACTTCTTTGTTTGTGTGCGAGTATCACCTTATCTTGGCTCAGTTTTCTGGAGGACTGACAGCGCAAAACGGCATCATGGACAGTGTAGAAGAGACAGGACTTTGTCACTATTTCATTAAAGAAACCTCCAGTCTGCAGGTTGTCCACCACACCAGCTAGAGAGAGAGGGAGAAAGAGAGGGAACAATGGATACACGGGCAGAGTGTTGTATGAAAAGATGTGGAAAGATAGAAGGAAACAATGAGCGTGTCAATACAGGAGGACATGAAATGGAGTGAAAAAAAGTGGAAGAAACAGAGAGAAAGGGATGAAGTTTAACATTTGAAGTAGGGGAAATAAAATGGACACAAATATAAATAACAGACAGAGAGAGGGGAATGGGGGTGGGAGGCGTAATCCTTAATTGAACCCTATTAAAATTCCTGGCTATATACATTTTCTTAGCAGTCCCTTTGCGAGCCCAAACGCTCAGAATAAACTATTTATCTCATTACAGGCTATACGCCCAGTATGGGCTAATAATAGCTGCTGATCCTCTGAAATGAATTGGGTGGCTCCTAACATTGTGTTTTCTACTCCCCTGGGGACCCACATTTTTCCATCCAGCAAGTCAGACGTGCGGGCTATTATGTAAAAACAGGCACAGAGAGTAGATGCCTTATTACAGTAAAAACAAAACCGGACCACCATATTTTTTCTTTAGCCTACCTGAGGACTCATTATTAAATATCATACCAGACTGGAAAAGTATTTTCTGGAGAACATACCAGCTATTGACTGAACGACTTCCTTCATAGAAACGTTACAATAACATCAGCAAACAGCTAAAACAACATCTAATGTTGTTGAACGAATTCAGATTGTGTGTGGCTGAGTGGGTCTGGATGTGTGTTCCAGTATGTGGGACAAAAAATCCCAGTGGGCATCACTGACGTCTACGATGGAATAAGTTCTACTCAAATCGATTAAAAGTTTATTTTATAACAGAAAGGCAAAGAGAGTTCTGAGTGAATCAACCCACAGATACATACAGAACACCAATATAATCATATGAACAGCTATAAATGGTAACATAGCTGCACTGATGTTGATCTCCAAGAGATTTTTAACTTTTCTGATTCATTTTATTTTTTAAACATTGTTTGAAAGTCTAGACTGCCTAAATCAATTCTGTCCTATTCTTTTGTAGTAGGGACTTACTCTGGCAGCCAGCAAGAAGCACCTCTATACCAGTTTCTCCGTAGTCATTCCGGATCTAAAAGAGACACAGAAGCACAGAGCAAAGGTCACACTGGGGATCATTTAATTAGTCTGACAATTCAATTTACAGTAATTGGATGCCCGTGGAGCTAAATGATTAGGAAAGGAGGGATGAATGCAGGATATATTTTGGCTTTTAAAAGGAAGAAATGCATACGGCAAAGATAAAAAGATCATCTTTATTCTCCTAGGGACAGTTACTTATCTAAGTTTTAGAGAGGGAATTCATTATTAGTTATCAACTCTCTTTTTGTTCTTTAAAAAATGTGTTTGGACCCATTTTAGATGAAAAGAATGTAAATTTAACCTGTTAATTTTGATGAAATATTAGATCAGAACAATGAACTAACTAATGCAGACAAATGCACATATACACAAAGATGAATTCTTATTATGTACAACTTACTTCACCCTGGACTGAGTATTTTCCCTCTTTTATATACGTGTGTCTACATGTGTAAATGTGACTGCCGTATCCATACCCTGCGTAGCGTCTTGACTCCCACAGTATCGAGGAAGTTAACAGGGCTGAGGTCGAGGATGATGGCTCTAGGGAGTGAGGGGTCATGCTCAGCATCGATCTCAATGATGGCAATGTCATTCTCCTCCTTCTCTGGCTCCCCCTTTTGTACAGGAGGAGACATGACATAGTGCATATTAATACCCTGCGTATCGTCTCGACTCCCACAGTATCATGAGAGGTTAGTCACAGTAAAATGTTTAGACGATGAATCACAATCAAAGGTTATTCCAGAATTAGGAATTCAAATGACCATCAAGGTTTAGAGTCAGCAATGTGTCAATATTTCAATAATTTACTGTATCATTTACGGTAAATATCATGTCTCTGGTCACCTTCACTTGGTCAACTGTGTTGTTCTTGGCAGCTTTCTTGGCTTTCTTGGCATTTTTCTTTTCATGCCTCTTCCTTTTGGCCTCTAGTTTCTTCTTGGCTGACAGGATCTTGGTAATGTTAATGCCAGACTAAAAGAAACAGCGAAAGACAATCACACATTGTAACAGTGAAGTTCACATTGATTTTATACAGCCAGTCAAATATTCCTCCTCCTGAGGTATTCATTAAGGCTGTGATATATGCCATTGTTTTACTTATTTTATTCATCTGTTCCTCCTTTTATCTTAAGCAAAAAACTTCCAATTTTAAATTGCACCAGTTCTTTATAACACATGAGAGATGAATGCTTCAGCTGGTATCATATACAGTATGTACTTCACCATTATTTGTCCTATATGGTTCTGCAACTGTTATTGTAATGCAATAAGCTAAATATTTTTAGCAACAAACCATTTGAAGCTTATAGAATGGACACTATAGATCTCTTTCTCATTATGGTTATTGGTTATAGCTGTTGTAATATTTCCAGGTCAAGCTCATTACCCGTCATAGTAACATAAATGTTTATTTTAGCCAGTTTAGCCAGTTCAGTCAGTCCAACTAGACTGGGTGAGGCAGGTTTCACAAGGAAGCAGCCTGAATGAATGGTGTGCATAAGACACAACCACAGGGCATTGCAAGAAGGCTAATTATAGTAAAGTCTTCCTTTCTTTGTGCTTTTGCTCGAGGGTTCTAATACACATAAAATCAACTATGAGAGTTTGTTTTCCTATATTAAACAACTAAAGAACATAAGTTAACAACATGCTCATTTTAAAATGCTCAAGTTTCGCTACGTTTACACCTAATGTCCACACTACTCCGGCGTTGTCAAGCCCCTAAAACAGAGATATTTGGAATCACTGCTGACTCCATTGTAGTTTGAAAACTCCACGGTGTTTTCTGGACGGGCAGAAACAGAGGCTTTTAGAAAGAATGACCCAGACAGCTACGTTCACTTCTTGATTGAAAGTGTTGAATTGTTATTTCTGCACACTGTTGCCATAAGGAAACAGAAAACCTTCTTATCCCTCATAATTTTTTATTGGGCTTTAATATTGATTATTATTGCTGCACAATGTAAATGTATTTCACTTAATAAATGTTCTGAAACGATCGGATTTCCCTTCTTAACCTTTTACTATAATAGTAATATATTATTACTTACTTTTCCGGTGTGTCTTAAATGAGCAATGAAATAAAACGTTTTTCTTCCTGATATCACTCCTCTTGTTCCTACTAGCATGTGGGAGATGAATGTTTTAGATGGGGTAATAAATGTATTCACTTCTGTTTAGGGGGTTAGTGATCTTTATGGTAGGGGGGAGAATGCTAAGAATCTGTTAATAAATCACAGTGTTAGATCACAGTTGAGGAAGGCCTAAGGCCTTGGGATGGGATAGTGATATGGTTTGGAGGTAACCTGGTGATCTTGGAGATACTGGATGGTATATAAGTCTGGAGAGAACATCTATGGTGTGGTGTTCTCTCCATGCTGCATTAATAAAGGGACTTGATTCATCACACTGGGGTTTGTAATTCTTCAGAGAACTAGCAACTCTCAATACATCAAGACATCAGTAAGCTAATCTTCTCAGGAGAAGTGCAGTAGAAAAAATCCACACACACACACATAAAGTGCGCACTTTGGTGGCTCAGTAAAGAAGAGACACTTTACAGCTGGACAGTATTGGGGAAAGATCCATCCAGTCTTTGCGCTGATAGGCTTTGGTGCTGTTAAAACATATGACATACAGCTTCAGTCAGGTCAAGAATTTGATTCATAGCTAAATTACTGTAGATGACTCATTAAAGCATCCCATTTGTAATTAAATCATCTTCAGATAAAGTATGTTGAACGTGTCTAGAAAACACCATTGGCATTGAGTAACGACTAATGAGCAACCAGGAAATGGAAATGCCGAGAAAAATTTTAACAATCATCAGTCAGCAAAGGCCAATCGGATTTCATTGTTTGTTTTTGTGATATATCTTTTTCCATGAATAAAATGTCTGCCTGGCAATTGCAAAGTGGATCAGAATTTGATTACAGCCATTCAAGTCTTCCTAGTTCTCCAAATCAAAATTGCTAGCCATTAGCATCTCAAAAACACTACTTAGCCGTTTGCAGGATATTTTACCTCATCATTATACTATTTCATTGTCTGACAGAAAAGACAATTCATGCAAAAACATGATTTCATGATCAAAACTTTTCTTGGAGCATGACATCACCACTAGTTGATGCAATTACACCCCCTTACATAAGTGCAACCCATCAGCTTAGTTGGTGCCAGTGAGAAGCGGTAAGTGGTCCCAGATTTCCTCTAGTTCATGGAAAATAATCCCCAAATTTGACTCATCTGCATGCCACAGTGACTGGTGGAGTAGAAACACTATCACCAGAATTCATCTGGTGGCAATTTCTCACCTTGTAAACAAACGTGCAGCCTCTGCCAGTCAACAACAGCTCTATGAAAGCTTATTTGTGCATCAAAGATTAGAAAGAAAAGAGAGCGACCCAGTGGCTTTGACATGCTGACATTTGAATGAATGAGACGTTCTATTATCTCCCTCCCTTATTCAATCTATGCTTCTCACCCTCCCTCCATCTTTTGTCATCCTCTTTCTACCTTCCCTCAATCTGTCTTCCCATTTGCCCCCAAAGAGACGTGACAGAAGAGGAGGAGGAAGAAAGGGGGGAGAGAGGAGAAGGATGGGAGAGTTTAAACAAAAGTTTAACCGAAGAAAAGGAGAGGAGAAAATGGTGAGATGACATTTGGAACAATGTCTGTCACAGCTGTGATGTGTGAATTGGTGAAATGTCAGGTCAGTTATTAGTGTGTCAGAAATAATGTTT